AAAGAACTTTAGTATAGGACATTACTGAGATTGGGATTTCATTTCCTGCCTATGTGAGACTGTTTGTGAACTGTTTGCCCCCATATCCCACCCTGAGCTGCTTTGGCTTCCTCTCATGCCATGCAATTGATGTTTCAGTCAGATTTCATCCCTTGCTGCATCTGGAGGAGTGATGTGGTCTCTGCCTTCCTCTCAAAGATGTCAGGGGAGCCATGATTCAGAAAGAGCGGTGTCAAGATCATGATGAGCAAAACCAGGGAGAGAGAGTTGTTTATAAATGGAGAGAGACCTTGCTTTCATCACTTTGTTATTTATTTCCCTAACAGATCACTGGGACTAACAATGTGAATTTGTAATCTGTTAAAGGGTTTGTTTCAAAGAAAATGCTCTCTAGTCTAGCTTGCTCTTCACACACTCACGATTTTCAACCTTCTTACTTATTCCCTTTCAAGGATGCTGCTATTTCACATCAATAACTGACACCTTTATTTCAGAGCACAAAATAGAATTACACTCCAGCCCTGACAATATAATAAATCAGGAGGGATAAAATACATATTAGTGAAGTTCACATAGTTGGTTTGTCCCAGCTGACCTATAGATATAAAGGTATGATTAAAGTTTTTTTGGACTGCTTCTTCTCAGTTGTGACACAAGATTTAACTCTGACTCAAAGATTTGACCTTTGCTGCTCTTCTCTGCTTACCTTGATTCTTTGGAATTATTGTTATTCCCTTGAAGCCTTTCTGCCAGTATGGAATTAACACTTTGTTGTGACAAAATATTGTGTATTTGGCAGAAGAATGGAGCCATCTAGAATTCAATCAGGTTAGACAATGTCATGGTGCACATCCTGAATGAATCATTTCCACCCAGCTTTTTTAATCAAAGAAATCTTGGCCATATAACCTAGAAGAGTAATGCTGGATAGTCACATAGCTGTCTACAATTAAAGTTTAGGCACATCAGGGGTTTTTTTTATGAATTACGATTGACAGGGTGCCTGCCAGAGTACTTAATCTTTCAGATGGGTAACAGAATAAAATCTCAAAGCCACAGGTTTATCTAGAGCATGAAAAAATTTATTAACCTTCTTGGAAATGTTTTTACTGAAGAAGTTCCTTGTGGTTCACCATATTGGTAAAAACAAGCATAAATAAAGGAAGGTAGAAAAACGTGAACTGAATACTCCCGAGGAAAATAGTCTGTGGTATTTATGATTTCTCTACTGGGAATGAGATTATAAGATGAGGGAAATGCATCCAGTTTTACTGGGTCTATCCAGATTTGTTGTATGACCCAACCAGATGTTTGGGAAGAATCAGTTATTAAAACTAAATGTGTTTTTCATTATGCAGTAAATAGGATTTTTGTTGCTTCTAATGGATTTTCTGTTATTTTCAGTTCTGTGAATATTTTTTTTTCATGTAGTTGTTATGTGTCTACTGGTTTCATCATTACTAAATCCATGTGTTCTCCTTGAAACTAAATCCAGATAAGTTCCACACCATTTCCCTCTAACCTTTCCATTTATATTATATACTAGAAGAATTTAAGCTAACGTAATAGTATCAAATTGAGATGTATTTCACAGTGCACTTCTCCTCTGATGAGGAATGGGCTAATGTAATCAGCAATTATTTTTTGTGTGACCTTTACAAATCAAATTGTTATTTTCTTGCTTTTCATTTGAATTTTGCTCCCAGTGGTGCAGGACTGCTTCAGCTAGTATGAAACACAATTTATTGACAGAATCACATTATAATAGTCTCAGAAATCATACATATTGTATGTTTTAATGAAATAATTCAAAGAAATGTATAAGCTGGCCAAGATTAAATTTATGCTGTTAGTTCACAGAGGAGTTTCCAGGATCACCATAGAGATGTTCTGGAGCAGCTGCAGGATAGAGAGAGTGGACCTTGTCTAGGATAGATCCCGTGTTAGTCATGGAATTACAACAGAGAGTTGCAGTAGTACTGAGGATCCCGTCTGGGGGCTGCAGGGGCTCCTCTTACCACATGTTCCTGATCTGCACCCACTGAGTGAATTAGCACAGTTTAATGCCTCCCCACTACAGGCAGTTGTGAACACTTAGCCATGACTTCCTGGTTCTTTTGGGAGCTAGAGAGTGTTTGCTCATGGAAGGCGTCCAGTGAGTAATGGTGCGGGAAGCTGATGAGTGAATGATGATCTCTACCCATGAGACTTATTTCCATTATGTTAATGTATTCCTTATGCCCACAGACCCCTTCTGAACAACTTAGCCTTTCTTATAAATGACACAGAAAAATTTCACCCACTCCCCCATTTTTTTTAAATATAGATAAGCCAAAAAAAAAAGGGTACCCAACACTAACTAAAACTCATGATTCATTAACTGTAAGTTAAGGAAACCATTTAGAAATAGGATGTTCTCTCACTTATTCAGTGACTCAAGTGATAAAGCCTCAATAAAAACTGTCGAAACATCTCATTGAAAAGATAAATGTGTTAAAAGTAACTGACTATCTGAAAATATAAATTGTTACTTCACTGGTATAGGTATACGTATATACACACATATTTTGATGGAAGATACAAATCCAGAACAGAAACATGTAAGATCATACTTTTTTCTTTCCTTTTCTTTTTTTGTTTGTTTTTGTTTGGTTGGTTGGTTTTTTGTTTTTTTGGTTTTTTGGTTTTTTTTTCTTTTTGGTTGTTTTTTTTTTTTTTCTTTTTGGTTGTTTTTTTTTTTGTTCATTTGTTTGTCACACATCATTTTTATGGGTTTTTTTTTCTGGTACTTCTCAAATTTCCATTCAGTCACAGGAAGTTTGTTGTAAGAAAAGGAGGCCAGGATGAAGAGAAGCAATTTTAAAGATCAAAACAGGAAAAAAAAATTAAAACTGTCTGTATTCTCACATCATCGGAGTGGTTGTGGTGTGATGTGTTTAATTCTAAATTTTCACTTTCTGGGAGAAGTACAAAAGGGAAAGTTTTCATAAAACGTTTGATGTTCGGTTTTAGTCCTGTTTTATGGAAAATACATATAAAAGCTGAGAACAGAGAGAAATGTACATAATGTGTATATTTTATATATATGCATATATGTCCATGTACTTTTTAATATGGCATGCACTTAGATATTCACATAGTGTATTTACTCAGTATATTTACTCAGAGGAATTGTGAAACCATCCTCTGTGGTAATCTAAAGAATTTGTGGATGCCCCATCATTGGAAGGGCTCAAGGTCAGGTCAAATGGGCTTTGAGCAACCTGATCTAGTGAAAGGTGTCTTTACTCATAGCAGGGGGGAGGGAAGAGATGATCTTCAAATGTCCATTGCAATGATGTCAACCCAAACCATTTTATGATTAGGAATTGGGAAGGGAAGGGACAGGAAAGGGCCATCTCCTCAAAAGCAAATAGGTCAGCTTCTGGCATGGTGAATGATGTCCATGCTAAACCAAGTGAGGGATGCATGAAACATGGAAAATAGCAGTTCTCAGCACTGTAGAATAAATATCTGCATAAAACCACCATGGTTTCATTTGCAGTCCTTGGGGGCTATTATAGACTCCTCCCTGCAAGCCTGTTATGGCTTGTAATTTTATGACAAACTGGAACACTGATCTCCTGAATTTGGATAATATTTCTGTTTAACAGTTATCAGTAGGGTCCTTCTAGCTCAACATATCTTTCTGAGCACTATGTGGGCTTACTACAGTGTGTGCTTACATTGCCACTGCAGATACAGGACTTGGCTTCTTGGTTGGTTTGGTGGGTTTCGAAGTCAAAGAAAATATGCACGTTTGAGCCAGTAAGATTGACTTTGTATTTGAACATGATTTATGAATGACTGCCTTTTACCCATCTTGCCCTTCTTATCTCTCAGATTCTTTACTAATATGAACCAATAGAATGAAAGAAAAAGATATTGTTGGCCTAAAACTTTGCTGCCTCCAAAAGCCTACACATTGAAGGAAATATTTAGGTTTGCCATTCTCCTAAGTAGCTTTCTAAGTGGTATTCTGAGGGATCACAGCTATATCACCCAAACACAAAAAACTATAATTGCAAATAAATATTTAAAGTGTTTCACTAATTATTCCTCATCTGCTATTTTTCTGAGTGTACCAGTCTTATTTTATCTCACTGTTTTAGTTAAAGAAGTCAGAGATCTCTGCACTGACTGAGAATAGATACAGCTGGCAAATATGAGAAGTTTGTCCCTTGCATTGCTGGGTTCTGGTTAGTTCTTAACTTATGAAACCCCACCACAGATGGCCTCTTGCTAAATTTTAAAGCACTTGCACGTTTCAGAACCAGGCTACCTTTCAGCAAGTCACTTTTGTCAAAGCCTTGGTGTTCCTTCAAGACATTGTCAAGGAGTCTTAAGAAAATGTACAAACTGTGAATGCCCTGGTCTGTTCTGTACCATGTATTTGAATCTCTGAATTTTATTTAAATGAAGCAAAGAAATGTGTATTTTTTCTGCTTAGGAATAAGTTACAGCAGGACTATTATTAGACAGAAGAAGTAAGTGTGCCTTAGATGGTGATTAAGAGTTGTGTTCTTCTTCTTTAAATGACTAACCTGGAGTGAGAGGTTGGATGTCTTTTGAAAACTTAAACCTGTTTCACCTGAACATGTTTAACTAGTTAATAAGAAACATCAAAAAAGACAAAACCCTGAGGTCAACTATCATTTTTTTGTAAAGCCATTCGATGATGTTTAAATTTGTTTTTTGGGTCTGTCTATAACATAAGTTTAATAACCTAGCTCAAATGCAGATTTCTAATTTTCAATTAACATAGGAATAATTTTGTTTGCTAAAATAAAATAAATGAATGAATGAACAGTCTGAACCATGAAATGTTCTAGGTAGCACTTTTTAAAATTCCAAATTTCAAAAAATCATGTGGCAACTGTATAGCTCAAGCTTTAAGTATTAACTTTTAACCTTTGACCTTACAGATTTTAACCAATGAAATGTCTCTTTAAACTTTAAAGGAAACAATGATAACGAGCGCCTGGCGATTGCTAGACAGCGAATTCCATATCGACTTGGTCGAGTAGTTGATGAATGGCTACTCGACAAAGGTAAAAAACATTGATTAAAACTTCAAATAAAAAAATAATTTGAACATAACCAAGTAGTGCTTCATTGTAACACTAATAAACATAAAAAATAAATTTCAGTAAAACTAAATTAAAACAAATTTTAAAAAGTAAAATATAGAGTAATATTTGCATACCTTGTATAATAATTTCTATACATTTCTAGAAGTACCAGCTGTTTAATAATCTTACCCTGTTAACTTAAGGTTAAAGGGACTGTTAAATATAATCCACTAACTCAATCTATGAAGGTACTCATAGCAAACATTAACCAAAAATTATAAATCATTCATAGATTATATTACATGTTCCAGCATCTAAATTATTAACTAAAAATATCTGTAGTTATGATATCTTCATTATGGTCCTGAAAAAAAATTTGTTTAAACTGTAGGTGTCTTAAATAGTGGGCAATATGAATTGCCAATCAAAATGAAGTCCCTTTAACGTTTGCAATCTTCTAAGGGGATTTTGGAACAAACACTAATTAAAACAGATCTTAAAGTTGTGTGCATGCTTTTTGTGAGCAGAAACCAAATAGTCACTAAAGTGACTATTCTATTTACTAAGAGTGGTACTGTTGCTGAGGATTTCTCTGTTTTAATGGAAATGTGCCATGATTTCTCCATCGGTATGTGTATCATTTCTGAAGCCGCTTTTACATCTAAAATATTTTATTTTAATTGATAGCCTTGCTGAAAGCCAATCAGACATCTATTTCTGAATCTGCTTCTGAGATACTTAGTGTAAACCATGTGTTTCTTTTCAGTGTGTATGTTGAAGGGAAATAAAACATTTAACTACAAAAATGAAATATTTAATTAAAAATGTAAATATTCACTTACATAGAGATGCAACAAATTACCGCATAAATTCTTTAAAACTCACTTGAACTAGTGACTTGATGGCATATATATAAACTTTGTGTGTATATACATATTTGTATATGTCTATACATACATAAACTCATTTGTACATAAAGCTATAGGCTCTATGCTGCAATGTGTGGAAAAAAAACCCCAAACTTTTAAATGTTGGCAGACTTGAAGAAAAAGTTATTTTAAGGAATTAGAGAACCTGTCATTCTTGAGACACAACAAAAGGTTAACACTGCTTTCAGGTAAAAGGGAGAGGGGTATATCTTGTAGTGCCAAACACATTTGCAAATATATTTGATTGGCCTTTTAGCAAAAAACATATAAATCTCAAAACGCCGCAAATTAAGAAAAATGCAAACGCTCTCAAAATTTATGCATTTCATGGACACCTCATTAAAAGCAATGAATTATGAGTCAAATCCTTTTCTTATAGTTTATTGCTCTCATTTTTCACCCCATGACAATCTGTTATCACTCGTGTAGAGTACAGCGTTCACAGTCAACATTTTTGCATGTATATAATATTATCTTCGCAGGGCGTCAGCTCACAATCTTCAATAGCCAAGCAACCATAAAAATTGGAGGCAAGGAACGTGGCCACCCTTTCCAAGGCCAGCTCTCTGGTCTTTACTACAATGGCTTGAAAGTTCTGAATATGGCAGCAGAAAATGATGCCAACATCATGATAGAAGGGAATGTGAGACTTGTTGGTGAAGTGCCTTCCTCTATGACAACTGAGTCCACAGCCACCGCCATGCAGTCGGAGATGTCCACGTCAGTCATGGAAACCACCACCACCTTGGCCACCAGCACCGCCAGAAGAGGAAAGGCTCCGACCAAAGAACCCATTGGTCAGGTTAGTCAGCTTCCTCACCTTTTGCAAATATCTTCCCACCTCTGCGTGTGGCTTCCTTTGTCCCATTCCCTCTGCTGATGAAATTGTTCCCCCTTAAAGAAATGCATGAGTTCCTGTTGAAAGTTCTGTACCGTACACGTCTCACGGATGTGATGTTCACCAGCATTTTGAGGGAAAGTTTTGCTTTTCTTCTAAATTAGGCAAACCTACCAGTTCAGATTGTTCTGGTGCTGAGTTACATTGCTCTGTCATCCATCTTCATAGTGGTGCATATTTTTAAGTACCCTTTCTTCCTTTGATGGCTTACATTGATTACTTTCAGTGCAGGAATGCAGGATGTCTGGAATTAGAGATAATGAAATGAAGTGGTGACTTTATCCATGAGATAGAGAAAAGAGACCCAGTTTTAAGAGAGAACAGGAAGGAGGTGTGAAGACAAAAAGTTGCAAGAGGCTGGAAAAGAGGGAATTAGCACTTTCTCTAGTCCCACGATTGATCATCCTCTCTGGCAGTACTCCTCACAAGAGGCAATGGCAGCAGAGGGAATTAAGAGCACTCTGCACCATGGGAGATTCAGGCTTCAAGTCATGGACTGTTGTTTATTGTTTGTGGAGGTTATTTGCATCTCATGAATTTGGTGATATATGAAGTAGCTTTCAGGTTTTGTCAGGATCTCTGTATAATATGTGGGGGAATTTACTTATTGGGAAAGGAGGGAAGAAAAGAATGTGAATGAATTAACCTTCATCTTATGTGTTTCCTTGAGTAACAGCAGTCAGACATTGTGCTTTAAAAACCTAAAACTTCTTTTATATTTATTATTTCTTAAAAAAAACCCAAGAAAAAACAAACAAAAAACAGACAAAAAACAAACAAAAACCCCTCAACCAAACCAAGAAAAAAAAAAGTAGACTGCTAAAAGCTTTTCTCATGTCCTTTTGGTTCACATGCTTGTGTGCCCACTGTGGCACCAAGCCATGACAGACAGCTACACTCCTGAGATCCAGAAGTAGGACAAGGAACACAGAAAGCACCATGAGGGAGAGACAGGGTGTGCTGAATAAGGTTCATTTGCTCAGGAATGAAGCACATGCAGGTTAGACAGAGGCTGAGGTCAGGTTGCCTGTTTTCTGTGTAAAACCTCAAGTCACAGAGTGAATTGGGGCATCAAATTTGACACTTCAGCTTTTCTGTCTGTAGTATTTTTGTACGCTTTGTACTATGGATCAAAAACTATGGTAAAGTAAATGTAAAAACTGTTACTTAACAAACTTGAAGCAGTACATTTAAGTTAAAAATGAGCCTTAAAACAAAAGCATTTTGACTTGCAGGTTGCAGGAGGTTTTAAATAATTATTGTTACAGAGTTTTAATAAATAGCAATAGATTTTCTTTGTTCTTAATTCTGTTTTGAATAGTATCTTGCACTCTATTATCCAACGAGTCTGACCTCAGTATTTGCAGCAACAAAATCTAAGACTTTACCAAATTTATTGAAGGGAAGATACGTCTCTAAAATGTAGAACACCCTCATGGTGTGAAATAATTTGAGCTAAATTAATGTTACTAAATTAAAATTAAACAAAGTTAAGCTGTTCCACTTCCCAGCGTACTGTTGGCCTCTCCCACTCTTTCATGTTACTCTCAGGCACAATTTTGGAGGAAAAATGTCAGAGGGGCCATTCTCAGTTGTCACCTTGCATGATCTGTAGGCAGCAGGAATTTACTGGTATAATTGCTTTGCCAGTTGGCCTCAGTTTCTGGGAGTATTCCCCAGTATAATTTGCACACTATTTGCATGTTTAGCCACTAAGACTTTTTATTTTTGAGGTTTTCCAGCGGGATATTTTTGGAAGAAAATTTTCTTAAGCTAACAACTGTGGTGAGGTGTAAATTTTTCTGAAGAGGGGAAACAAAACGATTTGGGCAAAATGATTTTCCAAAGCTTTTCTGTTTCTAGGCCTGAAATAAGATATGGCCCTTTTTGACTCTATCAGAACATCTACTCAAGTTTTTAGAGAAGCTTGCTGCCGCTGGGGCTGAGTGGCCTCAAGGCAGTTGTGCCATTTCCTCATCCCTTTCTGGCTGAAGTGGCTCTGCCAAAATGCCATGAGCTCCTTGATACCCCACCCTGAGGAGCTTCCAGAAGGCTCCAGGACCACCCAGAGGTGCAGAGCATGGCTGCAAACCAAGTTTTGAGTGTGAAAGTTTTGATCAGCCTCTCTCACCTGGTAGCCTGGCTGGAGCAAGGGCTTCATGCATCTGATGGGAAACCCCGGATTAAGGAGCCTGAAAGCAACATTTGTGAGGAAAGCATTCCATGGTAACATCACTGCAGCACTTGGGGCATCCTGAGTGTATAAATAAGCCCTTCTTGACTTCATCTATGTCTGAATGTCCGGCCAGGTAGAATCCCCGTGTGTAATTAGTCAGGGACTGCACTGGAGCACAGTTTGCCATCAGGCCTTGATTTGATTTTGGGAGATTGATAACATCCTAAAGTCAGAGCTGAAATTTGTCTGCAGGATGCTATGCTATTCATGCAACAAAGACCTAGGAAGATACTCAATCACCTTAGGGACATAATTTCTTCTCTTCATTCTACCTGGTTCTTATTCTACCTGGATATAAAAATTTCTGAGCTTGTGACCCATAGGGCTCCCTTGGGTCTGTCCTGCAGGGTGCTGAGTAATCACTTTCCACCTTAATTTCGCTGGAGATGAAGATGCTCACCATGTCATGAAAAAAAAAATCCACCTTTGATTTCTTCATTCTCTTTCATTTTTGTCCTTTACATTTTTTTCCCTGATTTTTGCTTATATATAACCTCTGCAATGGTGTAAAATACACTGGCATATGGTAATGCACAAGAAGAAAAGTTACCTTTCCAGCATTAATTAGGTTACTGAGGAAAATATGCAGCTGAACAGCAATTGCTAATGAAACAACCTTACATTACTGCAAACCAGTGCATGGCTGAAATAGAATAGAAGCAAATGATCTAATCTGTCAGAGATTGTTTGCTCCATTTGCAGAGGTATTGAATTCAATTAAAGATTGCAATACTTTAAGAAGATCATTTAAATCTCTATTTATAGGAGAGGTTCTCTTAAAAAACCTACAGTGTTTAATTGATGGAGTCTCTGCTCCCTCACAGATATTAACAAAAGCAATATATGATGCAAGATCCACATGGGACTTGCAGAAAGTGTGTTGAATGCTGTCGTGCATGATTTTAGATGAAGGAGGTCTTAGTGCTTCTGAGAAAGAAATGCTTTTTGCTGAAGACTCTAAATGAAGGTTTTCCCAGCTTGGAAATATTTTAACAATGGATGTTTTGGTGATGACAGACATCTTAATTATTGCACTGGGAAATGTAAATTTTTCTAAGGGGAGAAAGGTACTCAAAGCTTATTGAATGCCAGTAGTAGGTGAATGCCTGATTTTCCTTAGTGCCTTAAATCCTCCCCTCTACTCCCCCTTTGATTTTAATGGCATTCAAGTTGTCAGCTTCCATACAGGCCACTGGGTAAACACAGAGGAAGTGAGTCCCTGCCTCCAGTATCTCATAGAATAAACAAAAGGTATCAGGTAAGGAGGAGGAAAAAAAAGAGGAAATCAGGAGGCAGGATGAAGAGGGAGATGAAGCAAGCATTGTGTTGTTTCAGTGTTAACAAGTGTGCAGATTTGCAGCCATTGTGGGAGGGACACTTTACTGCCCTGTGGGGTTTTTTTTTTGATCCAGGCTTTTCAGAGAGCTGTAGGATCAGCACAGAGCTGCAGCAGATTGTGCATCAGGCAGCTGGGCTGCCTGGCCAAGCAGTTGGTGCAGAACTGGCACCAGCTGGGTGGTCAGTGAGATGTTTCCTGTGCTTCACACTTTGCCATTTACCTGGGGGAAGCCTTAGGCATTGGCAGGGGAGCTGGGGAACGATCACTGCATGGAAGGAGGCTCAACATTTTGCATGCCTTTATAAGCATGGAAAGAAAACCCCCAGCTTAATTTTTGCAAGAACAGGACTTGTGTTACGTGAAAATATGTGTTGTTAACTTTTAGGGAACATTAAATGTGCCCTCAGGCTCAGAAATCATTAATTTATTTTAAGAATATCACCTTTTTATGAAGTTATTCAGCAAAATGATAAAGTTAAGTTCTTCCTTCTCTTTGCCTTTTATTTTTAACACTTTAAAAAAGTCTAATTTGCAAGTTTTTCTGTTAAGTCATGAAGGTGATAAACATCTTTTAAAACTCAAAATAAAGATTCTCATGTTGTAGAACTCCAGGAGCTGAAATGTTAAACTAAACACTGAGTACTGCAAGGCTTGCAATAAAAATTGCAAGAGTTGGCAGAAGCCTGAAAGGCTTCAAAAGGACTTAGAGAATGGGTTTTGCTTGAATTAGGAAAGCCCAATCAGGCCTTTAGTATCTCTTTGGCAAGGCTTTGTGAATCTGTATTAACTGGAAATCATAAATGAAGTGATAGTAAATCAAGAATAATATGCTCATTTCTCATCCCTTTCTAAGGATTTGATTATGACAGCCTATCCACAGACCAGCCTCTACTCTCATGCACTGGAAACCATTTCTGAAAATTGTGTGCAAAATAGCTTTTTTTAATTTTCCATAACATATTCTGGCAGTCCTCCTTGTTCTTATCAACAACACTAAGCCACTTATCCAGCAATTGCTCTATACTGTGAGATGATTACATGTTTGGGAACAATAGGCACTGATTTTTGGTCAGGCAGAACCAAATCAATGAACTGAAATTTGGTCAGTTGCCTTGGAGGGCATACATCAGGTGAAGGGTATGTTTCTTTACATATATTGAAGCAGCAGATTTAAATAGCATTCATTGTAGCATGGACAATGACAGGCTTGGCTCAGAGACTTCACCTGCCAAATAAAAACAAGCACTGGAGAAAGCAGGGCAGTTATCCATGGAAAGAGTTCAATTTTAAGAATGGTTGTTGAACACCTGACCTCTACATAGGCCAGCA